TTCTACAGTCTAGGTTTTATCACAACACTGCAATCAAATATGTAGGATATGTATAGGTACTTTCATTTTAATTGTAATTTTAACCTATCTTTTCATTTATTCACACTCCTGTATTTTAATAGAGTGACTTTTAAAATAATTTTATTTTGTATATCCAAACCAAATAGATCTACTCAGAATACTGAGTACTTACTCCTATCATTGTTCTTTTATTTAAAGAAAATGCTGTTTGCCTGCATCTCATGTTAGTAACTTAGTTTTACTGTACTCTAACATGAATGTTAATTTTTTTCTTTGAAAGAGGGGTTTTATCTAGAATCAGAGACCCTCTTGTATACCTACCTGAACTTCTCAAGAAGTAAAAATGAAACACAGACTAAGTGTGAGTTCCAGGAGCACTAAGAAGTCCACTGAAGACTTCTCCAAATAAGGCACTCAGTAATACATACTCAGAATGATATTTTGGGCTCTTTTGTACTCCCATCTTGACATACAAGGTTGAAAGCATGTTGCCTTGGGGACTTTGTTATATTCAGAAATATACTTTTTACCTGGGATTTTGTGAATTTCATTATTATTATTATTATTATTATTATTATTATTATTATTTGTATTGGGCATTTGAACATAGAGTCTCACCCATGCTAAGCAAGTGCTTGATCAAACAGGAACCATCCCAGGTTTTCTAAAAATTCTATTTTGAGACAGGGTCTCTCTAAGTGGCCCAGGAAGGCCTCCAACATATGATCCTCCTGCCTGAGCCTCTTGAATAGCTGAAATTACAGGTATGCACCATACCTCTTAAATTATTTATAGAAAAAAATGCAAAGTTCATTTCAGCATTAAAGTCCATCAGAAATTTGGGGGTTATGGAAAGCCTAATGCAGTATTCAACAGTGTGATGAGATCTTAATAGTGAACATATGTGACATTTCTGTCCTGTTGATGTAATAAGTAACAAAACAGTTATAAATCTATAATTTAGGAGTGTTTAGTTATAGTTGAAAATTAGTAGTGTAGTTTTATCAGTAAGTATATTTGCCAATCTGTCTTTCACACACACAAACACACACACACACACTGTCACCATTATATAATTAAAAAATATGAATAATTCTTTGGTGTATAGAAAAACCACATATCTATTTCTGCTATTTTGAATAATTATTTTCTTCTTCTTACCTGTAAATATTTTCTCTTTTCTCTAGAGAATAAAAATACAGGAGTAGTATTTGGGGCCATTTTAGGGGCGATTCTTGGTGCTTCCTTGCTTAGTCTTGTTGGCTACTTGTTGTGTGGAAAAAGGAAAATGGATTCATTTTCCCATCGGCGACTTTATGATGACAGAAATGAACCAGGTAAAAAAAAAAAAAAAATTCAGAATCTCACCTGGGACACAGTGGTTTTAATTAAGTAAGAACACATTGCTTAGAAGGGATGTGGATGTTAATATGACCAAAACAGAGGAAAGACTTATTCTGATCCACCTTCTGTTTTTCAAAGAACAAAACCAAATTCATTTGGTAATTTGGCACTTTCCTTCTCCTCTCTCATAGTGAATCCCATCTTTATGCATATCTATCAAGCATCAATCAAAAATAAATAAATAAGTAAATAAGTGAGTGAAAGGAAGACCAGTAAAATAGAGGAAAGAGAATAGGGGGACAGAAGAAGTGAGAGAAAGAGGAGGCACAGGGTCTGAAGTGGAATAAATTAAACCCCATGCATGTAAAATTTTGTCAAAATGAACCAACTATTATGTGTAACTATAATACACTAATAAAAGAAAAAAATTCAGGAAGAAAACCAAAGTAAGGGAAATTTAAAAACTATATTGAACTGTTGCTCATTGAGTAAAAGTGGGTTTTGTATAGTAATTCCAGAATCCAAATATATGTAAAGTAGAAAAATAATGATATGATATAAAGGAAAAAGGCCAGTTTTATTTATAAGTGATTGCAAAGCCCATTCTTTGCTATTGTAAGTTCTCTTAGTGGCAAAAATTTGAAGAAAGATTGTTTAAACTTTTAGTTCTTCCAAAACTTACTCACATACAACAGCCCTCCATTAATCCTAATAAATTTCTAAAAGAGAGTAGCTCAAAGTTGCAAATTTCACATACATAAAGTCACAATATAACTTAATTCAGGAAATTTTTAAATCATAAAATAGAAAAGGCTATCATAATATTTATAAGTGAAAATATATGTACTAAAAATAAAACACTGAGCAAAATCTTAATAAAATACCAAAAAGAACAGACATGAAATCACTTTATAAGTTTGACTCATCTCTCTTAATATACTTTAAGAAAAAAAAAAAAAAAACTTTTCTTATTTTCACAAGAAATTTTTCCACCAATACTTAATTGCCCAGATGAGACCCATGGCTAAAGTCTCACTGAATTTTCATGAGTTCAATTCGTATCTAATATATCACTCATATTCAGAGCCAAATACATTAATTGTTAATATATCCAATTCTGTTTATGGGTTTCTAGTAATCCACAGAAAACAACATAAAAAAGGGAAATTTTCAAAGTTAAAGCATAGGATTTCTAAGCATCTTATTTTTGTCTACTGAAGAATGCTGCCTTATCTATGTCATGAAAGAATTCAGGATATCACATTAATGCCATCAAACAGGTGTGACTGATGTATAAAGAAATAACATAGTCAGACCACCAGATTAACCTCTTTGAGATAGCTTTAAGATACTGCTCTTAAAGACCTAAGGTTGTTGAGAGGCTAGTTTTTAAATGAATGACTTAAAGAATGGGTGGGTAAGCTTATGACAGTACCTTAGAATAATTAGATTACTAATCTAATTTGTAATTATGTTGCTTTAATTCAAGCTGAATTTAAGACCTTTAGTACATGTCTAATTATTCTTTGACAATGAATTCTAGATCAATAGAAAATAATTGACTTGTTTTAAAAAAACAAAACTCCTGGATTGGATCATCTGTCAGAAAATCCTAAATGCATGATGACTTGAATATATCAGAAAGAAATACAAGCTTTCACAGATAGTTTTCTCGATTCTTCACTTTAAATGGCTTGAGCATCAAATGTTGAGATGGTTGGTGAAATTATGGCAATGAACTTTTAATGCCCTCACTTTAAAAAATAATTTTTATATCACAAGTTAAAAAATCTGGACTTGTTGACAAGGCTTGGAACATTCAATAATGTGCATGCTTATATTTAATCATACAAGGTATCGGTGTACATTTTAGTGATCTCTTCCTTAGTTCCTTTATTTTGGGTGTACCAGCAGAACAATTTTGAAAGTAAAAATGTTTTCTTAGTCATAAAAAATGAATGTAGCATGAAAAATATCTATTTAATATTTCAAAAGTAGTATCTGAAAAGCCCACATCAAAGAGGTACCTATTCACTCAACCAGAACAATTCCTACAATCTGATAATGTAGTCAAATGCCTGAGCATGAATTTTTTTAGACTGTTGGCATAAAACAATTTTATTTTTTTATTTGTTTACTTATTTATTTATTTTTAGTTCTGCGATTAGACAATGCGCCAGAACCTTATGATGTGAGTTTTGGAAATTCTAGTTACTATAATCCAACTGTGAATGATTCATCTGTGCCAGAAAGTCGAGAAAATGCACACGATGGCATTCCCATGGATGACATTCCTCCACTCCGTACCTCAGTATGAAACTAAGACATAAAGTTGTCAGAGAGCAAGTGCTCATCTACAGCATGGCCTTCTAAGAGACTCATCTTTCAAGAGTTTATGCAAGATCACTGTCCCGTGGACGGTGCAGGAAGAACTGTAAAAGCATGGGACTAGTAGCAGAAACACAGAGGGAATAAAACATCAAAAAGGTTTCCTTTCCTACAACATTTTGTTGGACTGACACATCTATTACATAACTATCATTTATATTTTGTCCATTTTTTCCTTAGTGGGAAGTATCTGTGGAATCAAACTAAACAATATCACTCCTTGATAGTACTCCTTGATAATTTAATAATAAAAATCCTTCAACAAAAATTGGAAACCAAAACTATATTTTCACTTTTTTTTTTTAACAAACACCAATGGAGTTGAATCTTTATTGTTCCACAGGCAACTGTGGGGCTCTAAATCAGGATTAGCATTTTGTTCAAAGAATGTCGAGAATAAATATTTGTATTTAATTTCATCTTAGAGTGAGAAAAACGATATAGCTTGCAGTGTCCCCTCACCCCCCACTGCGGGGTATAAAAGCAGTAACACTAAAAGATATGGTCTACTACATTCTACTTCTCTGCATGAGCATGAGCAAAGTCAGTTTCTGGAACTGCTACCTTGACAATGAGCATCCAGAAGACCCATGGTAGGAAAAAGGATCTGAACCAGGAACGTGACAGCTCTTCTAAATTTGTCAATGTTTGGGACATTCTTTAGATTTCAATTAATGGGGTGACTTAAAAACTCAATGAGGAATATGGTGAAAAAAAGATAGCCAAAGAATATATGTGCATATGATTTGTACAGTTTTTTGAGTTGCTAGTCAGGTGAAGGGTTTATTATATATTATACCTTATTGTTTAATCACGTATGGAGTAGAGTCTGCATCTCTAAATGTATAAAACATAAGGTAAAGAAAAAAAAGATGAATGGGAATATTAAGCAAACATAAGCTTCCAGAACATCACTTTCACAAGTAATATTACCAGGAAGTTAATTTGTTTTCTAGTTTGTTTCAGTTTATTTTAAATTATCATCTGCTTTTGGCAAGAAAAAGTATATCCTTTGATATAGAAAAAATTAGTCTTTAGGGAATAGAGGGTTAGGTCAAGAGTTAAATTCCCAAAGAAAAAGTGAATGTATGAAGAGAACAAACAAAGCATGTACCAGCATACACTATTGTTGAATTGATACATGGTGACCGTGTGTGTGCGCGCCTGTGTGTGTGCATGAGTGTAGAAATAAAGCAATAGTCTTAGAAAATAAAACTGGAACATAGGTAATGAAAACATATACTTACCCCATATTGCCATAAATATAGCAAAGAAGACTGTCCCTCCATTATCAAACAAATATGTCACCTTAATGGGAGAAAAACCCAAAAATATTAATCATACTACTGATCGTAATAATCTGGTGACTACTATTTGAATGCAGGCAATATGATTTTTTCCCAAATAAAATCACAGTATTTTTCACAGTTTGTGAATGTATTATAAAAGAGCCTTTCATGGGTTCTGCAAGAGTTTTATGTAATTTTCTCATAGGAAGAAGTGAGAGAGCAACATTTTCCTCTTTTCTTCTCTTGTCTCTTAGAACACGATCTGCTCTTCTGGTTAGAAGCATTTCTAGCACCACGAGGAAGCATCTGTGGGACACAGATAGTCAAACTACCATGTGGGATGTAAGAACTTAGCTTTTCAGATAACCTAGATGCACTTCCTATTAGCACAACTTCCACAAATGGGGAAGCTGCCAACTGCAGAATTCTGCCAGTGAGCTAACACTTCCAAAGGAAAGGCATCATGGTAGTATCACTCTCCTGCTTTCAGAACATGCCCTGCTAGAGAAGCTTTTAACATGTAATAAATCTACTCTGAGGCTGTTTTAAGAAGATTCCATGAATCATCAGTTATGATAGAGTTCAAATGTTTTTCAATCAGATATCACCTGAAGTTGGGTAAAGAACAAGGTACAGTTATGTGATGTTGTTGAATACAACATAATCCTTGAGGTTGTAAGAACTGTTTGATTTAATAAAATTCAAATTTAAAATACTCAAGTTACCTTGTTTTTGCTTGTATAATATGATCACTATATTTATAAACTGGTGTGTGAGGTTAAATTAATATAGCCAAAGACATAAATGCTTTTCATACCCATAGCTATTGTAGTAGCTACAACAGTTCTGCCTTATCGGTGGGGATTATTCCAAGTCCCTCAGTCGATGCCTGAAACTAATGATAGTACCAAACACTGTGTGTACTGTTTTTCCTAAACATACATAACTATGATAAAGCTTAATATATAAATTAGGCACTTTATGAGATTAATAACAGAAAAAAGAATATAATGATATAGAAAAGTTATGTGAATGTGGCTTCTCTCTCAATATATGTTATTTAATTATACTCATCCTGCTTCTTGTGGTGATATGATACAATGTCTATGTGTTCAGATGAAGTGAGGTGGATAATTTTAGGCTATGATGTTAGTTACTTGAACATAAGACCATGATACCATGACTATTGTTCTGGTACCTGTGATGGCTACTAAATGATTAATTGGTGGGTAGCAAATACTGCATGGATATGATGAATAGATGGATGATTCACATCCTACGAGGGACAGAGTAGGACTGCACAAGGTTTAATAATACTCAAAATGGCATGCAATATAAAACTTATGAATTGTTCACTTCTGACATTTTCTGTTTAGTATTTTCAGAGCACAGCAGTCCAGAGGTAAGTGAACTTATGTAAAGTGAAACTGTAGGTAAAGGGGTGGCCACTGTATAGAGAAAACAGGAGTTTTGTCTTCAAGACAGCATGAGGCCAATTTGGGCTTTAAATTATTTTAAGACAAACCTGATTAGAATGAAATCCTTTTTGCTCAGTTTAAAGTCCAGAAGGTGCTCAATGAGACATTAAAAAAAAAAAAAAAAAACTAATGTGCATTTTAATTATAACCTCTGGAACACACTGCAAAACAATATGCAAAACAGGTAAATATAAGATGTATTTTTCTATAATGTAGCATTATTAAAAATACCATCATAAAAAGATGTGTTCCTTTTAAATGTTTGTAGATAGGTGCAAAATACTCTGCATGTCTCTAAAATTCTGAGAGTTAAGACTTGGAATTTCTAAAAATATTCTAAGGGTTGGTTTTTAAAAAAATTTTTAGCATACATTATGTACAGTAGAGAAAAGGATCATAAAAGATTCTCCTACAGAGCTTATAAAATTACACCCAGCAGGGGAATCCAGCTCTTTTTTTGTTTCCACAAGCATCCCACAGAGACACCTGAGGCTTCTGAGCAGCTGAACAGCTGTCTATTTTCTCTTATAAACAGACTGAGTACAGGAAACAGCCTCTTAGAAAGTTAGAACAGAGGCTTTACATACAGGCACTTAAAGGTCACTAAAAATAGCAGTTCTTTCCTGCTTCAGAATAGAAAGCCACAGTTAATAAAAATTGTATTGTATGGGCATGATTTGTTATAGCTTATGAAGTGTTTTTTTTTTTTTTTTTTTTTTGAGAACGATTTTTTTCTTGCTAGGTTCACTAATAAATATTTCAAGCATTATTTAATAAATTTAAACATTAACCTTTAGAAACATGTGCATCTAATACAGTGGGTATACAGAAATTATTCATATGATGTGGGGTTACATACATGTAATGGGAAATGAAGCTAGTATGGGAATGGGGGAAAACTGCTCTCAGGAGAAGCCTGACAGTTTAAAATCATTGTTAGGTTTATCAACCTATTGCTGATGGAATACATTATGATTTAGGAGACCACAGAGACAAGAAGAACAGTTAGAAAGCTCTGATCATAGCTTGAGTTGCTAAGTGCTTCACTTTGGATGCTGATAAAAGAGCTGCTGAATGAAAATGAAGGAGGGGAAAAGAGAAGAGTCACATACACCAGAGATAACTCAAAGGCAGGTAACTGGCAGGAGAGTGAAGTGAGAAGGGGCATCACTGAAGCCCACTAGACCAAGAGTAAGAATCTCCTGGGCAGTGTCAACCCTGGAGATCAAGGAGATGCCCAGAGCCTGGAGGGCAGAGATCAAGTCTGGAATTCAGCTTGCTCACTTCCTCAGTCCTCAACTCTCAGACTGTACAAAATCTGCTTCATCTATGTTGAGGGGAGCTGGACACTAGCTCCATCAGTCATGGAAGCTTGAACAGTCCATCCCTCTAATAGCTTTGAAAACCGTGGTCCTCACAATCAGAACCATCAACAGGCTTGTTCAAAAGTAGGTTTGTAGGCCTCAGCCTTGAATAACTGACTCTAAATATCAGGATGTAGCGCCCAGAAATCTCATTTATAATAAATGTTCAGGTGGTTCTGGTATATGATCTTACACAGACTCTTCCACGAAGTCTCTTAAAGAAACACCTTTTCATCTGTTTCTTTTGAGTCTTGACATCAGTGAACAACCTGAGTCTCATTAGATATTGAAGAAGTTTTTGTTAAACAAGTAAAAATAAAATAAAACTAGAAAATAACTACTAGGTATGATACTAACCCCAAAGGCTGAGTCATTTTTAGAATTACAAAAGAAAATATTTAATATGTTCTATTTAATTATTTCACTATGAGAAATCCTAGCACCATGTCATTTGATAGTGCATTATCCATACTTCTATGAATGTATGCATATTAAAGTTACTTAATTGGCAAAGTTTTTAGCTCACATATTTTAAGTGTTAAAAATAAAAAGTCATCAAAAGAAATGTTAATGTACTCAATTGTGAATTCTGTTATATGGTAGGACCAATTTTTTTTTTTTCCATGCAAAATTATTCCTTGAATCCTAAGGGAATGTGCACACATGTGCTCTTCATAAAAATGTGGCAATGTGATTCCCCATTAGTTGACACAAGTAGTGATGTGTTCCATAAGAAACTGAATTTACAAGTTCCTAAATCATGTGGTTAGGCCATCATGTGACTACATAAACCTAGATTGGCTGGCTTGTTTCTTTAGTAAAACTCTGCTCCCTTATCTTTGACTTTGCCCATTAAGTAAATTCTAGTGTAGCAATTTATATATCCAAGTATATACAATGATATAAAAATGTTTATTTTCATCCAATGAAAGAAGAATGATTTCCATTTTTAAGTTTTTATCAGTACATTATACCTATAATGTACTGATGAAATTATGTAATAATTATGTATAACTATTATACATAATAGCAGTGTCCATTTTAACATAATCATACATACATGGAGTATAATTTGCTCCACTTCATCCCTTAGTACTACTGCCCCTTTTCCTCCTTCCTCCCTCTCCCTGTTACTTTCCTCTACTGGTCTTCTCTCTATTTATAGTTTCTTTAAATTAGTGGTTTGTACATACAAATAACAGTGAAATTCACTTGGTATATTCATATATGTACATAGCATAATTCGGTCAGTTTCATCCTGCTGTTCCTCTCTTTTCCTGTCCCTCTTCCCTCCCTTTCAATCCCCTTCCTCCCAACTTATGTCTCATCTATATTGATGGGATTCCCTCCCTACAACTCTTTTTTTTTTTTTTTTAAATTTTCTACATATGAGAGAGAACATTCAAGTCTTAATTTTATGAGTCTGGCTTATTTCACTTAGCTTGTTGTTCTTCCATCTAATGCCATGATTTCTTTCTTTTTTATGGCTAAGTAACTCCATTATGGCTAAGTAAAACTCCATTTTTTTTGTATGCGTGTCTGTGTGCGTAAATGTGTGTATGTATGTGTGTCTGTGTGTGTATGGGCACTTCTTATTCTTGTTCTAGTATGTATGAATGTGTGTGTGTGAAATACATTTTCTTCATCCATTTATCAGTTGACGGGCATTTGGCCTGGTTTCATAACTTGGCTATTATGAATTTCACTGCCATAAACATTGATGTGACTTTACCATTATAGTATGCTGATTTTAGTTCTTTGTGGTAAATACCAAGGAGTAATAAAGCTGGGTAATGTGATGATTCAATTCTTAGTCTTTTGAGGAATATTCCTACTGCTTCCCAGAATGGTTGTGCTAACATTTGCAGTCCCACCGACATTGTATAAGTGCACCCTTTTCCCCATCTCCTCACCATCATTTATTATTATTGTATTCTTGATGATTGCCATTCTAACTGTGGTGAGATGAAATATCAATGTAGTTTTCATTTACATTTCCCTGATTGCTTGAGATGCTGAATACCTTTTCACATATTTGTTGGCCATTTGATCTTCTTCTTTTGAGAAGTGGCTGTTGAGCTTTTTTTTGCCTGTCTGGTTTTAAAGTCTAAACCAAATAGCTATATTTTATCTTCCTCAGAAAAACAAATACAAGATGTATTCAGTATTTCATTCAGGTGGGTTTTATTTCCTGTATGGTTGCAATAAGGCAATATTCTCCTCTGCAAGTTAACTTTCATCTTCATTTGAAGTTTATAAGTGAATTCTTTCCAAGTCTTGCCTATCCTTGTGCACACTCCTTTCTATTCAGAAAAGAAGGAGTATTTACTGTACAATAGCACCTAGATTTAGTATCTCCTTGGATAGATGCCTCACTTTATCACTCTGCCATATGTGAATGTCTCATGTCTTTACTGTTCACATCGCTCCAGTGTGTTCTATAGTCTATCTCAGATATTTTATCATAGTTATAGAAAACAGACTAATGCAAAGGTTGAATGTATACTATCATGTGATTCAACTCTCCCACTCCTAGGTATTTACCCAAAAGAAATAATAACATTTGTCTGTAGAAATACTTGAACATAAATCTTTATAGCAGCTTTATTTAAATTAGGCAACAACTTGAAACAACCCAAATTTCATTAGTAGGTAAATGAACAAACAAACTCTGATATAGATACAGTGGAATAATATCCAGCAATAAAAAGGAATAACCTATTGATGAATACTAAAACATGGATGAATTTCAAAATAAGTATGTTCTGCCAAAGAAGTCAGAAAAGTTACATACCATATGATTCTAAGAGTCTAGGAAATATAAAGGTATTTATAATGACACAAAGGTGTTGGTTGCAGAAGCACTGGCATAGGTTCAGGGGAAAATGTGGGGCACAGATTGCAGTGAGAACACTGTGAGGAAACTTTGAAGGTGATATATTCATTATCCTGATTGTGGTGTATTTTTTTTTTGACCTGCATTTCACAGGTACATACACATCATCAATTTCCATACTTCAAATATGTACATTTTACTTTGTTGATTATATTTTAATACAACTGTTGTAGACATAAAAAAATAATTGTAAAAGCCAATGTTTTTAAAATTTGTATGAACATTGTTATAACTGGGGAAATCTTAGAAAATGATGATATCTGGGTTTTAAATCCAAAGATTTGTTTTAATTGCTGAGGTCTAGGGGTTTTTAAAGTATTTTTAAAATCCTTCAGGTGATTCTAATAGACAGCAGTTTGGAAATTTGGGGTATGCTATTTCATTTTCTCTGTATAATTAGAAGTATTTTATCTTCATGAGTTTTTGTGGAAGAATCAAATTTAATCATCAGCAATAAAAATAATTGTTCTTCTCCTACAAGACCTAAACATAATTTCAAGGGGAAATTTGTGTCTGTGGGGGAAACTATTGGCTATAAAAACAAAGGAATACAAAGATATTCAACTCAAGGTCTACTCTTTGGAATTTCAGCAGATTGACTTTGTATCAAAGGCTATTAGAATGCTTGGGAATAGTAAATTGGGTTAAAAAAAATAGGATCCTCTACTTAGACAAAGCAAGACTCAGGAGAGGATGTGAAGATGCACACTCACCTTGGCATAGATGCAGCTGTCATTGAGTCTCTGCAAGGAACAATTCTTATCACACAGAGGGCACATGAAGACTTCGGTGGCTTTACAAATCTCCTGGCTTGAGAAATCAAAGAAAATAAAAACATGAAAGTCACTCAGCTCTTGAAGCAAACTTTGGTGGTGAGGCCGAGAAATAGAAATAATATAGAGTGGGGAGCAGGAGAAGAAGTAGTTATGGTTTCAACTTATGGATGAGGATATTTGTGATATAGTATTTTTTGTTCACTTCTTTGTTCTCTGTTGAGATATTGTGATGATAATGGGTCATGGTTTGCATTTATGTGACACTTATGGGGCTTTTTATTACTATAAAGGCACTTTGATATATGATCTTGTGGCATTCAGGTTAATCTTGTGTACAGGTGAGTTTTAACCAAGTTCACATGCTTGGAAGTGGATAAGCTGGAATGAAACCTAACTAGTCTGACTTCTCAAGCTCAGGGTTCATACAATTTATAGTACACACTGCAGTGCATATCATTGGTGCAGAATATTCAGCGGAAACTGAAGGAGTTGATCTTTTTGAACATGGCACCTTGACATACATAGTAATGGCGATATGACGTAGATTCTACTACTTAAATATATGCTCAACTAGGATGTAACTTTATGACATTTATCTCACCAGCTTTATGCTCACTACCTTTTTAAAACCTCAGCATACATTATAAATGGCTTTGTGACAGCAGGGAATCAATAACAGTTTCTGAAAAGCCTTACAGACTTAAGAGCTCAAAAGAACCTATTTTGAGGACACTACATGTCTTTATCTGTCATACATGACCCTTTCTAATTTTTTTATCTCCCGTTAAATTTTATTAAAATAAATCTACTCTGGAGAGTTTATAAGAAGCTTAAAGACTTTAGAAAATATGTATGTTAATGCAATTGTTAACACAAGTTTAATTGACAATGTTTGTAGCAAGATTTGCTGTTTTAAAAAGTATATATATAAAAGCAAAAAAAAAAAAGAAGAATGTGTGTGAATTTCAATGCGGGATATACAGAACTTCAAACCAAAGTAAGAATACAAGATAAGAACACCAGACAGTGGTATAATACTTTATAGTGGTAAAAGGTAGACTTAGGTCTGCTACATTGCCTAGTCCTCACCCACATCACAGGTAATGGAAATTATGTCCTCTAAGGAGAAGACACCAAGGCTCAATTTAAAAGACTTGCTCAAGTTACAGAGCTAGCAAAAGGCAATTTGAGGAGCTGACTTCAGGCCTTTTTTTTTTTTTTAGTTAAAGATCCAGTTTGCAATCAACTTTAACATAGATAAAAAGGAATACATTTGTTTTATGTTAAAATTAATTTTTCTATCAATAATTCACTAATGGTGATGATGACAGAATCAATTTTATATATACTACTCTCAATTTTACACCTCCCATCGTATTAGTAATCAGATGTCTGTAGAAAGGAAACCTACAAACCATGCATTTTAAAAATCCAAAGAAAGAAAAGATTGTATCTCCTTGTAGCAAAATTATTAAATTTTAGAAATGAGAAGAATCAACATTTCTTGAAGTAATTTTTCAGTAAAATGTGCTTATTATCATAATTTACCTTGTTACACAAATGCCACCATTTGTCTTGCATTGGAATCCCATCAGAATAGGTATTCAAGTTGGTTTATACTACGTCATCTTGTCCACTTTCCTTACTTTTTAGACTAAAATAAGGGATTTGCGCCTATCCCAATTTGTTTGATTTTATTTAACCACTAGAGGGAGGGACAGGTCCCTATCATGAGTGGTTTTTAGTTTCTTTTGCAGGGCTTGACACACTACCACTGGAGTTGTAGTTTACTTTGGTTTTAGATTTGTTGCTGTATATGTATCTATCAGTAGCTGATCCCAAAGAATAATTACTACCTATTAAAGATAGTGAAATCAAGGAGCAATATGTCTAATCAGGGGTGAATATGGGGGCCCACGCTCTCCAGGAGCCTGATGCTTCCTGTGACTCAGCTAACATGACAAAGCACAGAATAGGAAATTTCTGCTCGATTTGTACATTTTTGGAGAAGAGTATAAAAATAAGTATGAGGAAGAAGAGTGTGGCAGCATGGATAAAGCATTGACTTTAAAGTCAAATATAATCATCAGGGAAATCCAAGTTAAACCACAGTGAGTTTACCTTATTCCTACAAGAATTGTTCTTATATTTATTCTTTTTTTTTTTTTTGGAGGTTGCTTGCTGGGAATCAAATGTAGGCTTTTGTGCATGCTGGGCAAGCAGTGTACCACTGAGCTACACCTCCTGCCTAGATTGCTATTATATTTTTTTAATTACACGAAAAATAAATGTTGGTAAGGACATGGAGAAGCTGAATCCCTTGTACACTATAGGAATCTAAAAGGATGCACTGCTATGGAGGCAGTGTTGATGTCCCTCAGAAGGTTAAAAACAGAGTTACATATGATCTATCCTTTCCACTTCTAGAAATATTTACAAAAGAAATGAATTCAGGATTTTGAAGAGCTATGGTGCTCCCATATTCATTGCAGCACTATTAAAAATTCCAAAGAGATAGAAATAAACCTAATTTATATTATTTCATCAGTGGATAAAGAAAATATGACATATAAGTACAGTGGAATATTATTTAGCTGTATAAAATGAAAGAAAATTCTGTCTTATATGACATAATGGATCAACCTTGAGGACATTATGCTAAGTGAAATGAACCACTCACAGAAGGAAACACACTGCATGATGCCACTTACATGGGGCATCTAAAAGAGTCAAACATACAAAACGGAAGAGTATATTTGTGATTTACCAAGGGTGTTGGTGGAAAGGAGGAGGGAGCCCGTGCTCAATGGGTATAAAATTTCAGTTACACAGGATGAGTAAGTTTTAGATATCTTCTATACAGCATTGCACGTAAACTGCCTTGTGTAGTTAAAATTTTGTTAAGAGAGTAGATTTCACATTAAATGTTCTCACCATGTTGTTTTGTTTTAAATATCAGTCATAGGCTTGAAACTTAACTGTGCCCTTCACGGACATATTTCCCTGACCAAATCACCTACTTCCCTGAGGTGCATTTGTCTCCACACAAGGTTATTATCTGACTGGGATACTAGTTACAGGATTTTGATATTCTACCTGGCATATCCCAGGTGGTTCATAAAAGGAAGAACCCCTTATTGCTAAGGTTAGCCTCAGGAGAGGGCTTGAGGATATCTTTCAGAAGCAAAAGCTTTTGTAAGACTGGTAAATACTGAGGGCCACATAGTTTTTAGATAAATTCTAATGCTAACGAAGCAGGAATGGACTAGAAAATTGGGATTTCCACTCTCTGACTTGTCCTGAAACTCAGGTCCCTAAGATGCATGTCACAGGTACCTGCTTGTTGACTCTTAAAATCCTATAAAATGTTCTCACCCGGGCACAAAAATGAATATATTTGGCTTTGTAAAGCAAGTGTAAATATGTATGGATACATACAGTGATCTAAAACTGATTGTTATGTGCTCCCACAAATAACTACAGGGCAATTAAGAAATATAACTTTAATTTAGTTGTCATATCTGGTAGGATCACAATAAGTAATCCCATACCTACAGCTTTTCAACATTTTGCTACCTTGAACTAGAGAGAGAGAGAGAGAGCTTCATAAAATAATATGAACATGAATCAACACAAAATAAAATCTAGCCCCCTCCCCACCCCCACCATGATAACGCCTACGACTCAACCACGTCTGCCACCTTGAATGGAAAATTTCGGTTCCAAAATGTTGAAAGTCAAGATATTCAGTGCTGCATATTTTGGTTGAGAATAGAAAGTCTGACAGGATCTTAATTATACTGTGACAGGAGTAGCAGTAATATAATATCATAGAGTGCAGAATAAAAGATTTTTCTAGCACCTTTTAAAACACTTTTTGTATCAAAGGTTAAGGCATACTTATTTCATACAAAAGAAGCCTAATTTACTCCTTTGGTACATAAATCAATAGGAACACTAAATCTATTCCTTTCATTCCTTTGGATCATTTTCAGCTTCCTGGGGGTGGAAGGAAAAGTCTATATTTCATGGCAAAACTTTGTGGATATGTTCTACGGGAACCAACAGGAGCAGCAGCTAGGGAAGAGTCTTCTTCCATGTTTGTTAATTCATTGTAAAAGAGGGCTTTACCTTTTAAGATAATGTAACTCACACTATCTCCCCTGAGTCTCATCAGCACTCAGGGAAAAGCCCAATAGGGGAAGAGTAAAGGGAGATATTCACAGAGGGCAGAAGTTTGTTCTTGAACATGCCACTTTCCACAGGGAGAATGATTTACAAAACTCTGAAGCTCATGAGCAGAAGTTATCTCTTTGTTTGCATGCTTATTATCACTTGGCTTCATAAAGAACAAAAAGGGGACTCTGGGCTCTGGGACATCAAATCAAGTAACTTGGTTACTGAATAGGATTCCACTCTAGGACAAGAAAGAGAACTTGTTTTTAGGCAACATGGTTCCACATAGGCAAATGCAAACATGTACATATCACATTTTTTAAAGGGAATTCAGGGAAACTAACTTTTAGGATCTTCTGAAGAATGTCACACTAACAGCTGTCCTGATTACTGCTGGGTAGGAAGGCTATGGTTGAAATACGCACCGAACAGAAGAACAAAGTGTTGAACTTTAAAAGAGAGGGGAGAGCTTCTTTATGTTTTAATATGAAGTTGAATTTGATAATATCCTTGTGAAATATATTAAACTGAACACACTGCCAAGAGGATTCTTTAATCCTAAGGTGACTCCTGTCTCTGGTGAGTAATAATTTAGTATTTCTAGGAATAATGTATTCCTATTTCTAAATCTTGAGTCACCACGGATTGAACAAAAGAATCACCTTTCTGATGTTATGTTTCACTTCTGTCAAATCCTGTTTTGCTACTATTTTTAGAATGGTATGTGGGATATACTTGAAAGTGAAATCTGGCATCAAGATTAGCAGTCTTGGAACTTATCTAGGAGAAATTTACTTAAAAAACATCAAAATGATCTTTTAATCATGCTTTTCTCCTATTTAAAAAAAAAAAAAACTGGCATGGTGGCATATGATGGTTAATACCAACTGCTTGGGAGACTGAGGCAAGAGGATTATAAGCTGAGGCCAGCCTGGCAAATTAACTTTAAGCCTGACTCAAATAACAAATAAAAATAGCTGGGGATGTGTAGCTCAGTGGTTGATTATCCTTGGCTTGCAGTTGAAAGGCTCTGGGCTTATTCCCCAGTACTGAGAAAACAAATACTCAATTGAAACAAACAAGAAAAAAAAAAAAAAAAAAAAAAAAAATATATATATATATATATATATATATACACACACACACACACACACACACACACACACACACATACACACACACAGCAAATAAATAATAAAATTGTAGTATTATTACTGTTTTTTTCTGCTCAGCCATTATCCTTAAGTTTTTGTCCACTCAGAAGACAGGCCAACACCTTTTATAAATCTCTTTACAGCTTACCTTACTTGACTTTCATTCATTGTAACCAATCCATAGAAGAACACACACAAGCCAACCACTGCTGCAGGAATCAGCATGCCAGTGTACCACCCCAGCCAAGCAAAGTACAGCCCAATCTTCTCACCGAAGTACAGCCTGCACGAGAAAGCACATCATTAGCTTGAGTTAAGGTGTCCTAAATGACCTTACAAATACTGATGTCACAACTAGTCAGAAGAATTAGACGGAAACTTGAGGCTAGCAGCTCAATTCCCCTTCAGTTCTATCTGAGGTATCCAACAATCCTGTTCCTTACTTAATTTTATAATGGTGATGTCATTTACTTTTAAACACTATAGGGCAATGATAGTGGCAAGTGTATCTATTTCTGTGTGAAATTTCTTAATATGCTATTAGGACTTTCTATATTCCAATTCTTCTTTCTTTGTTCTCCCAGGAGCATCCCGTTAAGTCTCCACATCACAGATCTAGGCTAAATCATATTGCATTTTGGGCAAATTAGAAAAATCTCTCCTCTCAGTGGATGCTGACAGGCTAGATTTCCATGTCAATCGGCATCCTCAGTCAGTATCCTTATGCTGAACATGATCTACATCATTATGTCGTCTCCTCCCCCAAAAAACTCAACTCTGCAGTTTCCAAAGAACACAGCAATGCCCTTGATTGATGTTGTTCCCCATTTGTGGAACACTTAAACAACTATCAACTTCTTCCCTGTCAACATGCACTGGTCCTTCACTTAATATTGCTTCTTCCAGGAAGCCTTCCCTGAACTCCCGCTCTAATCTTTATTTAGAGGTCCCTGCTCTTGTTTCTACAGACCTTCATTCATGCTTCAGTGTCCTAAGAATATAACACCTTAAGGCAACTACCTGCCAATCTTGAGTTTCCTTCCTCTCTATGAGACTCTAGGCTACTGTAAGCCTGTGTTTGCTTCACTAGTAGCCATCATAAAAAGACAGAAAGAAGCTAAGAGAATGAGTGCATTTTATTGTCTTCAGCTGATGAGCATAGCTTCTATGAGAATAGCAAATGAACAAGGAGATTGCAATACCTACTCAGCTGTTATTTCTCCAACTTGTCTACTTGCAACATTCACTGTCATACAGTTGATAAAGTTCTGGTACAAACAGTAAGAATTTTCTAACTTCTCTCCTACTGTTAGGTTCCCCATCCTCTAAAGATTGTTACTTGTTACTTAACACACAGGTTGTTCTAGCTTTAGATTTTGTTGTTTGTTTGATTTGGCACTGGGGATTGAATGCAGGTGTGCTTTACCACAGAGCTATACTCTCAGGTCCGTTCCCCAACCTCCTTTTTAATTTTGAGATGGGGTCTAGCTAAGTTAATGAGTCTGACTTTGAACTTACTATCCTCCTGCCTTCACCTCCTGAGTCCCTAGGACTCCAGGCGTGCAAACTACCACACTTGGCTATAATTCTAAAGATTGTATTTCACAGTTGACTTGGGAATATTGTACCAGGCAGACATTCTTGCTTGGAAAAACAAAATCACTTGTCATTTTTCCTTCACAAGGCTTCTCTTTCTGAGAACTATTCTTTCTACTTTATTCTCTGAAATGTACCAATTAAGTTTTGTATATATTTCACTATGTATAGACTGAACTCTTCTTTCATTAAGCATCATTGACCCAATTTTTTCTCTTTTATTTATTTCACCTAGAAAACACCAGTTATAGTTTGTTCATTTCTTTTGCCATGGTAAAGTTCTGGTACAGTTGAAACTGAACTGGATTGAAACTGAAGAGATATTCACAAGTTTTGCAATGAAGCCACATGTTCCCTATGCTGGTGTTTCTCAGTGGGTAGAGCCAGGGTTTGGATGAAGCTGTTTCCTTACTGAAGTCATAGCTTTTACCATCAACCCACCTCCTATGGTTGGAGATTCTGACAGGTTCTTCCAGATGCTTCCTTCTTTTGGTCCTTTAGACTTAAATTTGATAACAGCTTCAAGCATTTACCAGTCCCTGAGAGCCTCATCGCCATTAACATTCTATATATAGATTTTTTTTCATGAAACTCATTCTTTAAGTATCCCTTTCAGTGTTTTTATCAGTTTCCTTATTCTTGATATTTGTATTTTACAAATAACTCAAAATATCAACATGTATAACTTAATATGAATGCTAATGTTTCTTTAATTTTCTAAATATTTATAGCTAGCCTGGGACTTACGTTATTCTTAGTATATAGATCATGACTTCAAAAAGTTAAGAATAAATCATTGTGTACCAAAATAAATTAGATAAATAATGAATATAGCAAGTTGAGGGCATCTAATTCAAGTTGATAACAGTAAGCCACTAGAACATACTTCCTGGAATAGAATAAACGATACATTTTTGTTGAAAGATAAATATAGCGGGACCTCCATATACTTTGGTTCTACTTTCAAGAATTCAATCAACCAAAGTTGAAGATGTAACTTCGCCTATATAGTTGTGTCTGCATTGAATACATACAGACTATTTTCTTTCCATTATTCCCTAAACAAGGAACTACAATTTATATGACATTTACATGGTCCTGGGTGTTTGAAACAACCCAGAGATGACTGAGTATACAGGAGGACCTCATAGGTTATATGCAAATGCTACACAAATTTATATACGGGATTTGAGCACCCATGGTTTATGGCATCTGAAGAGGAGTCCTGGAACCAGCCCCCTGTGAGCACTGAGGGGCCACTAGATATGCATCGATTTTCCTCTCTACTCTCAGATCCATTTTTTTTTTTTTTACTTCTTTTTGTTTTGAGTTTTTATAATGTGGTGAATTACCCAGGCTCTGTGCCAGTAATTTCTGGTTTATCTGGGCCAGGAGGTACTAGAAGACTTGAAGGTACAAAAAGGAGATAACCCAGGATCTTTTCTTCTTCTTGGTGTTCTCAGGGCTGTGTGCTGTGGCTGTGCCCAGGTATTGAGCTCTATTAATGCACTTCTTCCTCATCCGTGAGGATGTTAGTAATTTTCTACTCTTCCTAATCCCTTCTTGACTTAAAAGCCCTGATTGATTTCTCAACTCTCCCATCCCATGTAACCATGTCCCTGAATTTACTTCCTGCCACTGAAAATCATAGAGGGGTTTCTTTTTCTAGATTGCATCCTCAATGATAACAGGTGACACGGTAGGTACAAGAAGCAATTCTAAGAAAATGGCAATGGAAAGGTACAGTTTGCTTTCCATTGTCAGTTCATATGCAGAACCTGATTAAGTCCAGAGGCTGGTGCTTGTACCACATTCCCCAGCGTGCCCAGCGCTCATATAACAGATGTCTTCTATTCTGAGGTCCATGGGTTTTGATGGGTAGGCTACTCTTATAAGCTCCCTGAAACAGATAAAATAATACAAATTGGTGTCCATTCTCTTGGTGACATTTGAAATAAGAGCTATTTATTTAGCAACTTATTGAAAGTTTATGAGATTAGAAATAAGTTTGTCAGTGGAATGATGTGGTAGATGACTCTTTCACTGGAAATAATCTCCTAGTTACTTAAATACAATTTCTTCAATTACTACATTTTTAAAAACAATTTTGATCTATTTTGCTTAAGTAAATAGAATTCAGGTTTTACTGTTGGAACCCAAGTTCTTTTAATAAAAACAATATCCATCAATGAGAGAAATTGTTGTAATATTTAGTTCAGAAATTAAGAGTATTATTCCACTTTAAGAAGTGCCCTAGTGCCAGAAATGGTTACTCCAGTTCACAGGGTATTATCCTGATTTGAGAAGTGATCCATTTCAAGAAAAGTTTTCTTCCATTTACAGATACTAAGGAATCAAATAAGTGCTCACTTGAAAAGAATGAGGCCTTAATCATATTTTTAAACTGTAGAATATTCAAATCTTATTTTGGATAAGATATTCCAAAAATTAAAATATTAAAAAAAATTCCTTAAATCTTCTCTCAAAAATCTGTCAGGTAGTTTGCATATGATCAAATATTCCCAACCGGAGTTATTAGTTCCTATCTAGATAGAGGATACTTTGAATTGTGGCTGGCAAGAGCCCCCAAATTGTAATAAGGATTTCACCTTTAACAAAATAGACTATTAACTAGGGAAGAGTGGAAGTGAAACTGAAGTACAGCCAGAGTTGTCTTCTCTCAGGAAGCCTAGGCATTTAAAGCCAAAATATCGGAGGCCAAAGAGATGGAAGTAAAGATCTAGGTTCTCCATATGGAGCATCTGCTGGAAAAAGTTGATTTGCTTGTGAAAATGTATAGACTGCCCTCAGATTGGGTAGAAAAAGGACACTGAACCAAAATCTCAACTGTCTTTCAATAACTACTGATAATTCTTCTAAAATCCATGAATTTCCCAGCCTTAGTGATCAGAGCATAGATTCCTGAGCTTTAGACATTAAACTTTAGCATACCAATTACATCATTGGTTTAAGTTTGTTCCATAACCTCAATTAATCATACTGTCATGGTTTGACAGTGTGTTAGCCAGAATCCTTCCAATATAAATATATAAAAAGGGTAAAAAAAAAAAAAATATATATATATATATATATATATATATACAGTTTTCACAGTTTTGAACCCAAGAAACCAACCTCAGATGCTTTATATTAATTATGAAATACCTCCTTATATAGTAAGATAGGAATGACAATAGCCAATAATATGTTTGTGTGTTTCATGCACCCAGCCCTATATCTATATTATCCCATTTTGCTGACAATAAAATTGAAGGGGTATTTAATATTATTATTCCCTTTTTAGAAGTAAAGAAACGGTGCTCAGAAAATTTAAATACCATGTCACATACCAACCCTATAGTCACATGTGCCCACTATAGCTTGAAGCAGGCATTAGCATTATATCATTAGAATATAATAATAATAATAATAATAAGAAGAAGAAGAAGAAGAAGAAGAAGAAGATCTATAAAGTAGAACAAGTTGATTAGTGTGAGAAGGGAAGGGAAGGGGGGCATTGTTACATATTATTATAATGGCCAATTTAAAAATAAATAAATAAAATATTTAACCCCCCCCCCCAAAAAAAAAAAAGATGAGGTGTATAATAATATGTTCAGGAACAAGTAGATAATGGACTGGAGGTTTGTGGTGTAGGCTTGTTTTAGATTTCAGATATCCTCAAGAAGTAAGCATGCACTAGGAACCTGTCCTGTGTGGGGTCGTGTAGATCTCAAGTTAGATCAAGCATGGGGCTCTGTGCTACTACAGAAGTCAATGGTCAACATATCTGGCATGAGTGTCCTCTGTAAGTCTGGGTTTCCTCAAAGGAGGTAACTACAGAAGAACATTTGGAGCAGAGGAGCCAGCATATAGCCCCAAGATCATAGTGGGATCTCAGAAGACCCAGGTTCACAGTGACTGAACTCTGCTGGGGTGAGCAGCCAAACTCAAATGGAGAGCAATGGAATGAAGCAATAAGCAGGAAAACTTTTCTTTCTTTCTTTCTTTTTTTTTATAATAGAAATTATCTTTCAAAATTACCTCATGGGGGGGAAATGCTGCTATATATGAGCCATTGTTTATAAGTTTGCGGATACCTGGAAAAAAATAAAAAAAATAATACTTGAGTCATTTTCATAGAGACTTCCCTCTGGAGCATATACTGCATGTGGGACAAGGAATTAATTGAAAATGTAAAATAACCCTAATGACTTCCATAGCCCATACATCTGTGGGTACAATATAATTGTGAGAGAGCAACACTAAGCTTAGTTGTGTCCTTTAGTAAATGTAAATATGCAAGAGGCCAACACATGGCTTCACCTTGTCATCTCATAACATTTGAGGAGCTTTGGTACCCAGTTATTTGGGATCATTTGAGCCAGGAACAACATTTTTCCCCTTCAAATAACAAAGCTTGATCAAAAACAAAGGAATTTTACACTTCTAAAGCAATCTCAAAAGTTATTTTATTGAGAGGTCTGTCCTTGTTTAACTCTAAGCCAATGTGACCTAAATAACAACATAAGACACTCAAAATCTTCCTATCTCCCTGAGGGTGCAATGTAGTAGACACTCACATAGAAGTCCTGGTGGGAACAGACACTGGGAAATCTTTCTAGACAGCAATTTTTGTTGCAATATTGTTTATATTAATTAAGAATTAGAAAGAATTGTACATACAAAATGAAGGAATCCTTGATCATTTTACAACTATATTAGGTATTCAGTAAGTAATTATGACTTGATAAAGCCTTATTATAGAATATTGTATAGCTCTTTAAAGTTTTCAAACAGTACTGAAGGACTTGAGGAAATATTCATAATGGTAATTTTTAACAGAATGACAAATTCTGAACAATGCATTCTTGTAATTTTCATATAGTTCAAATTTGTGACAGTGAAAAGAGTAATTAGGAAATTTTTAAATTTTAAATTCTCCTGTGTGTACTATATTTTCTACATTTAAGTCATTTAAAATGTCATATTTATTCTTAAAATTGACATAAGCACATAGCAGTAATATGTAGTCACTTTCTCATTTCATATTCTGGATTTCTCTTATTTTTATTTCTTTGGAACATTTCTGACTGATTTTTATTGTTTTTCATATGGTTTTGGTGTCTAAGGTTATTATTTTGGCTGCTCCATCATAAAAAATAATGCTAATCAGAAGAGAAGCAGAATCTGAACATTCCTCTTTAAAACGTTGGCAAACCAGGAACACAATTCACATTTCTTATGTGGAACTCCATTTTAATGTAAATCAATAGAGCTGGTACACATTTCAAAGACTGCCAATTTTTAATTTCAAGAATTTTAGGACATTTGACTAATATTTGATCTGTTCAATGTTAGGTTTCAGCCTACAAGTAAAAGGCCAGCTTGTTTGTTTCTTTTTTTTTCCCCTCTGCTCTATGCAAAATCTGTAATTCTATTTATTTTTTTTTCTGGGGGAGATGCTCTCAATTTTCTTTTATATTATACAGGTTATAGCAAACTGCTAAATATTAAAACAAAGCAGAAATGTAAATAGTTAAAATGATTTGATAGTCTGTCTTTCAGAGATAATCTCTATGAGTTTCTTTATTTTTCTAAGCCCTCCGTTCTTTCTATGTATGTGTATTTAGGAAATAGAATTACATTAGACTTACAGTTTGGTAATCTCCTTTTTAAAAAATCACTTAATACATTGCACATATCTTTCAAGGTCAATAAATAGAAAACTAATTTCTATGAGCAGAGTCTCTTTCATACACATTTTATAATATTAGTGTGTACTAGATGCTTGGTAATTTTGTGATAAGGGAGAATAATCCTTATAATTTTTTAATGTATTGATTAAGTGGATGAAGTCTAACTTACTGGTGATTCCTTAGTGTGGAAATTTTAAGACTGTTTTAGTCATCTTCTATTCATGATGAACCACTTTCTACATACATTTTTATTCAAAAGTCTAATTATTTTCTTTGGGTTACTTTTCAAGAAATAAAATTTCTCTTCTAAAGTATTTCCACATTTTGATACATTTAGCCAAATGTTCTCAAAAAATTTATTTGAAAATCTGCAAAATAGAAATTTTATAGAATTTGTGTTCAATGTGCTATACACTCACATTTAACGAATAATGGCAAAGTTTCAATTTTTGAAAAAATAAACAATAGTTCTGGTTATAATTAAAATCTACTTTCTCTATGATTGCAAATAATGTTCTTACCCACTTTTGATATTCCACTTTCATATCTGGTACGCTCCAACATGTGATAGACTATCCGGCTTCGTGTAGCATTGCTGAAGAAGGTGTCCTTATTGTTTATGATGAAGCTGTTAAGATGAGGAAATTGGTTTCAATATTCAGAGAAGAACACAGAATCCAGCCACAGTTAGTTCCTAAGTAATCACCCATCTGTTTTCTCCATTAAAGCTAATCATATGAAATATAGTAAGCACAACAGACACTAGTATGGCAATTTGTAAATCAATGGATGTGTAACTGATGTGATTCTGCAATCTGTGTATGGGGTGAAGGTGGGAGTTCATAACCCACGTGAATCAAAGTGTGGAATATGATATGTCAATAAATTTGTAATGTTTTGAACAACCCACAATAAAAAATTAAAAAAAAAAAAGAAATATAGTAAGTCAAAAGAGAAGTCATTCTCTTAAAAAAATAAATTGACAGAGGAAAAAAAAACACACATAGGAATACAGAGAATTATAAAATGTTTATTTAAGTATTTTTTTAAGTTTATGAGGAAGTCTGGGTACACAATATTTCTCTTTTAGCATGGAATAAGAAGAAAATTGATTGTCTACTTGCTCCCATAAATTTTGTACTACCTTAAGAAATTTAATTCCAAATAGATGCATTAAAAATGGAAATGGTCCCCCTGCCACATTTTACGATCTAGCTATCTTATCTTCAAGACTTTGCAAAGATCCATACATAATCTTTTTTTTTCTGTTTCATTCCTTGTATTGTCCCTTTTTGGAAGAGAAGCAAGGTGACCATGCAAATGTCTATGATGTAAAGTGCAAAACAGGATCCTATGAAAGAGGAAAGATCTGTTCAACATCTACTTTATCATAATCTGGGAATCTCAAAAAAATAAAAATAAAAAACAGAGTGTAATGGGTCTTACTCAACTTCTGACACTTCCCCTCTCCAGTTGCTTTACCTCTGTGAATGATGAACTACCATTTCGTCAAGCACTTTGAATATTACGTCTGCTATAATCCTTGCTTTGTCTTCACCCTCAACATTCAAATAATTGCCACAGAAAGTAACTTATCTAACTGAACTACCTCTCCAGCTTTGGCACTACCCCACTTATTCTGGGTGGCATTATGAGAAGAATGTCCTCATAACTAGACAATCAACTTTCCCCCTTCCTTTTATATACTTTAAAGAAAGCATGACTCTGATCCTTAGAGTACTCCTCTACTTTTAGCCTGTCAGGAGCTTTCCAATATGAGCATAATTAAAGTTCTCATTTCCCTCCATGGATCTCTATGCTGGTATTACAACCTAAAACTCAAGTCTTATTTCTTACAGTTCTGGCTTCTTGTATCTCATCATCTGTTAAATTGTTCAGTTTATCATCACTGTAAAATTGTCTGCTTCTTTTCCTCTGGATTTTGCTCTGTCTTCAACATTTGTTCTTCTTCTCCCCTCCTTACTCCCTTGTTTTTTAATCAGTTGTAAAGGGCTGTTTCCTTTGAAAAGGTTTCCAAAAGCCTTTTTTCTTAATGTATATTTAATTTGTGTCTTTTTTAATATTGATTTACACTTAATATGTATATTTGTCTATTTTATTAGATTATGAGTTCTTTACAGTTTCTATGTTTTATCTGTATTGGGATGCACCAAATTCAGGATCTTGTTAATTACAGGTAGCAGAAGAGATATCCTCCATTCTGATGATTTTCTCACTTATAGACTGACGAAGCATTTTTGGAAGAAATATTTCTTAAGCAGGTAAATTTCTATTTTCCTGGATTTACATTATGGAGGAATAAAACAGATTATAAAAACTAACATATAAATAACAAAATTACATGTAAGGTACATGAAGAAAGATGAAACAGGAGAATGGCATAGAGAATAGGGGCCCAGAGGCAGAGTGTTCAGAGAAGGTCTTCTGAGGTGGTAATGTTGAGTGGGAGCAGAATAATAAGAGGGAAAATGCCATGCAGAGGTCTGGGGGCAGAGCATGTCAGGCAATGAGAACATCAAGAATAAAAGCTCTGGTTTGGGATGATACACCAGTAGCTGATTCATTGAACCAAGGCTTTCATGACTGGATTAAGTAAATGTGGAAAATGCAGAGTTGGAGTCAGAGTGTTGGGAAGGAACTGCAGCATCTGCATCCACAGGCAGATGATAAGAAAGACATTTGAATTTTATTACAAGTACAATGGGAGGCCATGGGCATGGGAGATTAAGTAAGGCCACTCTGTGATCTGATGGATGCTTTTCAAAGATCAGTCTGGTTTCTTGGGTTTGCAAAGAAAGAGCAGAATTTTTTTTTTTTTTTTTTAGCTGACCCCATTTGGTTAACAATAACAATGGTCACAGGAATTTTTATTCTATAAACAAATCACAGATAATGAAAGACACAAAAACAGGTGGCAGAAGAGACAGGAACTCACTGGTGAATCCGTGCTCTGCTAAAGGGGCCAGTGTAGCAGTCTGACTCCTCAAGGTCTGGAAAAGCTGACTTGTCAAGAACCATTGGATTTTGGGACATCCACTTTTTTATTCTTTTAAAATAATTTTGCAACCTGAAAGAAAGTTACATCATAGAACCAGGTTAGGTGGTATTCCATAGCCATGCCAACCTTCCATGATAATTTCCTCAAGTACTAAAGCATGAATTCTAAAAAGATAGGCGCATGCACGTACACACACACACACACACACACTTCTTTTCAACACAGAAGAAATAAATTGCAAAACAAGCCAAGTCCTGTTTTTCTTTACATTCTTTCAGAGCAATTATGTATCCTCATGAACAAAAACCTTGTGGAAAATATTTCAGAATCACTATAAATATGATGGTAGACAAGAGTATAAAAAAAGTATCATGATATATTTATTAAAACTGTATGTTATCATCTATCCAATCTAACTATAGACTACTTCCTAAGTCATTAAAAAAAGAAACAGCAATATGTGTTTCAAAGTGAAGACTAAATAAATAAATAAATAAATGACTTTGACACACTTCTTTATTAGTACTGGGGGCTATGACTGCAGTAGAAATGGAAACAACTTTGAAGTCCCATAAAACTGGGTTAAAACAGAGCTCTGCATTGCATTAGCTGTGTGAATTTGTGTAAGTTGTTAAACTACTTCTTGCCTCAGTTTCCTCACTCATAAAGTCAAAATAATATTGACTTTGTTGGAAAGTTGCTATTTGGTGCTTTAATTAAACCTGATCACTAACAACAAGGAAGACTTGGGTACAGAGCCTTTGCAATCATTTTAAGATTTTAGTGGTCATATGAAGGACCCAAATATTTTAGTAAAATGCATATATTGGCTAGGCATGGTAGCTCACATTGTATTCCCAGCAGCTCAGGATATCGAGGTAGGAGGATTTTGAGTTCAAAGCTAGCTTCACAACTTAGTGAGGCCCTAAGCAGCTCCTCAAAACCCTGTTTCTAAATGAAAAAGGGCTGAGGATGTGTCTCAGTGGTTAAGTGCTTCTGGGTTCCAATCCCCACTACCATGATATCAAAATGAAAAAAAAAATAATAAAAGGAAGAAGGAGAAGGAGAAGAAAAAGAATGCAGATATTGACTCAGTAAGGTATGGGGCCTGAGGTTCTGCATTTCTAGGAAGCTCCTAGGGAATATTCATGGTTCTATCTATTTTGATATGAATTGAGTATAGACACCAGGCATGTTCTACATTAAATACTGTTTCAGGAATTCTAACATCAGGACACTTTGGCCCCAACTCTAAAAGACAATCAACCTGTGTGCTATATTTATATTGATTAGAATCATATTTGTTTTACAGAGAAGAGAGAGAGAGATTGATTCCAGAGTTGATTCTGAAAAACTGCATTCTAAGTTACTAGTATAGCAGCTATGTTTGCTATGTTCACTAAAAAAAAAAAAACATGTAATATTTACAAACTATGAGGTTCTTCTGGGCGATTTTTGGCATCTTCTGCAACAGCAAGTGGAAGAATTAGGACAAAATATGTTCCCAGACAAGTACAACATATTTCAATATTTGTATAGCTGACTTTGTTTGACCTTCAAAAAAATTTAGGACAGCAGTGGGCAGGCAGTCAATATGTATCTTAAGACTTATTTCATTCAATTCTATTATGGAAAAATTATCATGCAAAAATTGAAATAAGAATCAAATCCTGCTACAGAGTTCTGGATGTAAAAATCTTGATATTTCCTCTGCCAAGTTATATTATCAAATAGCTGCTGGTTATTTTTGGTTTTGGAGGGATCACAGCATCTCTTTCTAATCTAAAATAAATAAAAAATAATAATAAAGTGAACAACAATAATAATAATAAAGAAATAATCAATCCATATAGGAGGTGGTGCTGCTTCTCATTACAAAGAAAGCATCCAAGTTAATTTATCCCCATATCCCAGAGGCCAGAACATAGACATGTAGAATATATTAAGTAGATTATAAAATGATTGATCCAGCTTTTTAAGTACAGTACTCCACTTATGTATAACATGTCAAAATACAGTATACTGTTATGTATATCTAAAAAGAACAAATTGAAAAAAAGAAAAGGCAATGTACGTCCACAAAGCACTAATTTAAAAAAAAAAAAAAAAATTTTTTTGTGAATAGCAGAAAGATCAGTAAGGTAGAAAGGAGGGAACAGGGATAGAGAGAAAGGAAAATGTGGAAGTCCTGAAGATGGAATTAGAAAAAAATTATATTCTATGATTTTATAATTAAAGCAAAATGAATCTTGTTGTCATGTATAACTAAAAAGAATCAACAAAAAATCTGAATAAAACCAGTGGAATAGGAATGTAAAATGAATGTTCTAGTGCTGAATTTTCCAGTCTTTGAAATTGGACTACACATTTCCAGTCTGAGATTCAGGTTCCTTAGCTCTAAGGAGAAGAAGTAATTCCATCTGCCCTATTTTAGAAAAATGGCCAGGAGAATCAGAGAAAAGGAAATACTCCAACTGTACTTGGAAACTATTGTTGTGTCATAGCACCCAAGAACCTTCTGTTTCAGATGAAATGACAAAGTAGAAACAAAGGTGAATTTTTAAAAATTTTTAAAATAAACCAAGTAAACAAGTGTTCAAATTTTCACTTATTCTGCTAATAGAAAAAAAAAACAATATTATCAGTTTAGGCTTTTCACACATATTTCCTGATGTGATGGTAAATGAATTCAGACCTGAATCTGAATACTAGGATACAAGGATCTTGTTCATCCTTTAAACAAAAGAATATTTTGAGGTTAAAGGGACAATGTCTGATGCCACCAGGCATAGCTCATTGTTTGCATCCAATAAATATTATGCTAATAATAGTGAAAAGAATATTGCCACTACTATTTCTATTGTTGCAACTGCCACACTGTACTCCAATATTATCTAATACATTTGGACTTGCAAATGCAAGATTTCATGGTATAATGTGAAGATGACTTCTAATAGAGCTTCAAAGTCCTTTACTAAAATCAGGGAAAAGCTGAGAATTCTATGGAAATTGAATATAAATCTGGATTAAAGGGTCAAAACAATTTAGTCAAATCACAAACTCTGCCAAAGCAGCAGAGAGCTGAGGAAGGCAGTGTGGATGGGGTGGAGAGCCAGTCATTTATTTTCCTAGATCTGCAAAACTGGCTACTCTTTGTTCTGACTCCCTTGCAGGTCATTTTGAAGTTGCTTTTATATTCGAATGTGGAAATGCTTTGTAAATAAAAAGTAAATTGCAGCAATAATAAAACTATGGTTACTTCCTTTCAACCTTCCCTGAAAAAATGATGATCTTCAAAAGCTGGATAATTGCCTGTTTATTTATCCCCTAGTGTTTGCTGTTCAAAATTAAACAATGAACAATACATCTTTCACTTCAAGAAAGAAAAAGCACAAGTAAAACTAACTGGGCATATTTGATTTTAATTTCTCACTTTGCAATATGTCTATAGATTGAGTTTTATGATCTTATATCAATAATGAAGACACACATGTACACACACACTGTTCTTAAATTTTCTTCTTCAAAGATCATTTTAAAAAAAATAGGAACCAGTCAATTCCTTAATTGCATATATAAGCTCAGAAAAAATAACATGATAATAAATGTTTTATAAACTCTTTCATAAAGAGTTCATTTATTTATTTATTTATTCCCTGTTCCTCCCTATTTGCATTCATGAAACCAAAAAACAAAGGAAACTATTAGTAATAAGCAAAATGTAAAGGGACAGATTATAGTTAAGGTTCTGATAATCACTTGGAAAATTTGAAAACCAAATTTTAATTTTATGGAGTAAACAGAAAATATTGAAAGACGATAAACATTTTGAAATAGATGATACAGTTGTTTTTCTGGTTTGCTTGAAAACAGAAAAAGAAATATTTCTTATACAAATATGGTGTTTCTTTAGTATTTAATATACATATATTTAGAATGTATTCTAGACACAAATTTAAAAATGAAAGTGATAGCTTTATATAGACTTTTTGGAGATTTTAATAAGAGGATTTATTTTTCTGCAAGTCTTTGAAAGAAAAACGCCTGTTCAACAGAAAACCCAGTAACTGTGTAGTCACAAAGTCTCACTAATTCCATGGTAGCTGACTAAAGGGGACCAAAATAAAGAGACTTTATCAACCATCCAACATTGGACAGGCATATACATAGCAGAGAAAAGGAAACATGCAGTTATAAATTTATGTATTGTAAGATTTCAGTGACTTTGACTTTATTATGTAAATATGACTTTGGAAATTTGCTACATAGACCAGGACCAATATCTACAGAAGAATTAACAAGGGTTCATTGTAACTCAGAGCACTAACCTGGCAGAAATATATGACTTGGTTTAGAGCCATCATTAATTATTTAATAATTCATTGTACTAATTTCTGTGATAATTATTCTAACTTCAAGATTTTCTTCTCCATGATTTACTTTCTTGTCATTAAATCCTATCAAACCTAAATTCAATGCTTAAAAGGAGTCAATATTCTCCTATAAAGGTTTATAAAGTTTGAAGTTATATTAAGTGATTTTCTTTGGGAAAGGAACTAGATTTATTGAATCCTTTCCTAAAATGGTCTCTTATTCATACTGTGGGTTTTATAGCTTTTGTATATTCTGAATTGTTATCTCCTACAACATTTGTCAATGGAACTCATTTTACCACATTCTTGTATTTTGTCTTTGCAAATTGAATCTTCTGCAATGAGCAGGAAAACAGCCAAGTGTATAAAGCCTTTTGTTTAAGTGTTCATTAAAGGAAGCTCATTTCCTCCAGTGAAATAGTGCCAAGATGACTCAGGTTAAAGAATTTCTTGTGTTTTAGAATTGTGGCTTGTTTAATTCCTTTCCACAGTTACCCTTTACTACAACAGGTGAATGGCTGAGGCTTTAGATGAAGCTTTTTTCTTGAAAAGAATCTCATTTTTAATACTAGCATAAGACAGGTAAATTAAGGTGGCAGAATTTAATTAGGTTTATAATGCAAAAAATATTTTATGACCTTAGTAAACCACTGCATTACTCTGGATTCTAGTGCTTCTGATAAGATAATTTCACTGAATGTCCCTGCAAATCTTTGGTAGGTAAGTTGTTCTATTTCTCTAGTGAGTCATCATTTATTCATTGATCCTAATTTTACGGTTTTTTTTTTTTTTTTTTTTTTTTTGGTACCAAGAATTGAACTCTGGGTGCTCAACCACTGAGCCACATTCCCAGCCCCCCAGCCCTATTTTGTATTTTATTTAGAGACAGGGTCTCACTGAGTTGTTTAGCCCTATGGCTGAAGCTGGTTTTGTACTCGAAATCCTCCTGTCTCAGCCTCCCAAGCCTCTGGGATTACAGGCAAGAGCCACCATGCCCAGAGTGATTTTATAATTATTTTTAAAATTAAAATCTTTTAAGATGTTAACTTGCAACTAAAATTCTTCCATAATATTATGTCATGGGAGGATTCCAGCAATGGCAATGATAAATAGTAGCAAAGTGATTATCTGATTTTAAACACAGTTCAATTTGGCATAAGTAATTTTGAAATGTTTGAACAAATCAATAAAATATCCATCCTAAAATTCACAACTGCTGTTATGGATAATAACATTTTTTCTTCTTTTCTCCCTGAATGACAGTTGCTCATAAACAAATTTAAGCATTATGCACCAACCTGCCCTTTGATTTACTCCTCCGGTCTGTGTAATAGCATTTTTTCCTGAAAAACAACAAAAGTCAAATGAGAAAAGTGAAAGCAGAGAATGACAACATTAAATAATATTAAGTATTTAAATATCAAAGATCCATATGCTTCAGAACTTCAGAAACATGAAATAATTCAGTATACAGTAATATAAAAAAATGAGTTTATATCATTTTAATTTCAGAATCCAAGTTTCTAATAACAAAACCATTTAAAAATCAATAGTGCCTTTTTGGATATATTATTTTAAATTCTCTTTTAAAAGTCTGTCTTCTGCCATTCAATGCATACTAAAACCAGATTATTTGCTTATAAGTTATATGAAGTCATTGATCCATCCATCCACCTGTGCAACCATCCATTTATCCACCCTTCCATCTAATCATATGTAACATATACTTCTGATGTGCCAAGTAAAGATAAGGTATAATCATTAAACATTTAAAGAACAAAGAAGATCTCTGCCTTCAAGGTGTTTTCTTTACAGTTAATGCAATAAGGGGACAGCTATAATTAAGTGTGACAATGTAGGAAAACAGGAAGTGCTATGGAAATACTGAGGAAGGAGATCGCTACTGCTTTTTAATAGGTGGAAGAGAAAGGAGACAGAGAAGTCTTCCCAGAGGATGTATTACCTTGAAGCATAGTGAAAGTAAACACCTGGGTAGTGTTATACGTGGCATTTTCAGACATAGGTAGCAGCACATAAGATGGACAAGGGGGCAAGAACGACATTGCAAGATTCAGGGAACTGCAACTAATTTGGTCAGATTTAGAGTAAATACTGAAAATAGAGGTTCATTGTGAAAGAAGTTATGGTCAGTGAACAAGACACAGATGATGAGGGGGTCTCAGATCTGATGTTAAGCTTTCAGATGATAGGAATGGGGAAATGTCCATGTTAAAAGCAGGGATACAGCAGATCTGGAATCAGAGAAAGTAAAAATTCTGGTGGCAGAGGTTGTTTTGTCTTCTAAATGATCTTCTCTGTATCCTGAACCTGCAGGTCAGAATGTCCTAATCTGGGCCTTATAAAATGCTTTCTTTTTAACCACCAAAAGCCACTTAGAGGACCAGTAAACTCCTTCATGGGGTAGCCTCCATAAAGTATTGCTGAATCAGGATAACATATTTAGTTAAACATTATTAGCTGTTTTTAAAATTTTCTGAAATACCTTATTTCACTGTAATTCCTGGTTGAACTATTAGAAAAGAATTTTAAAAGTGTCCCTTAAATATTCCAACACTAAATTCAAACATAGGATTTCAAAGCTCCCTCTATCAATTCTGAAGTCTCATTTTAAATTTCTTTCTCCTTTTTTTCAAACAGAAAAAAAGTTTGTATTCAGACATTATTCAATCTCTATTGTACTGTTCATCTTGTTTCTGAACCTCTTCTGCATAGACTGTCTTGAGCCATTTAATCTGAGGTTAATAACTGTTCACTATTGTCAAGTATGTGATCCTTAGTACAACAGCTCTATTTTACTTGACTTTGTGTGGCTGGTGAACACTTCACACATTATTTAATAAATTGTAAGCACTCAGATGGCTGATGAATAAATGAATGAACCCCAGTTTAATCAATAGTTGCATTTAACTCATTCAGTGCCTGAGATAATTTTATGTTTAATAAACAATCACTACATATAGTATTTTTTTAAAAAAATATATAAAGGAAATTGGTTTTAAAATGTTCCACCATCAAAATAATACAGGCACTTGATTCACAGGAGACAATGTTTTAGATGCAATTATCAGTAGGGGATATAATGAGGGAGTGGTAGAAAAGTAATTGGGAGGGGTTGCATTTGGAGTAAACACTATTCTCTATATTGATTGCTGTTAATCTGAAATATTTCTCTTAATTTTTTGTTTTAAAAACATTTTGGGAGAAATAAAGGATAACTGGAAAAAATATACCAGATGAATACATACACCTTTTAGACTGATTTTAAGAGCAAATGAAAATTAAAATTCAGATACTTAATTCTCTGTTAAAAAAGTAAAGGACTTTTCTTCCCTCCCTTTTCTTAGTGCATTTACTTGAGAAAATCTGTCTCCACAAGTACTTTCTCTTTCCTTTGAAATCTATATAAATCCTTCAGAAAACTCCATTGGGCTTTCGTGAGCTTGATGACCCAAGATACCTCCTTTCAGGCCTAGAAGTCATCTGTTTAAAATGTGAACATCCATGGGACAGCACCTCAATCTCCCAGTTTTTGTGGGAGGGTAGGATTCTCACTCCAAGGTGCAGAATTACCATTTGTCACAAAGAAACATAAGTTTAATTGTTCTTCTCCATAAAACTAATAAACCAAGGAACACACCAATTATCTAGTGAATCTACTATGAATTATGTTTGAAAATGGTATTGCCAAGTCCTTTCACTTTAGGACTCTCTAATGTTTATCTTTTTTTTTTTTTTTAATGCTTAAACATTTATTATATATTAAGCTTATGCCAGGGGTGGATTTTAAACATCATGGTTGTATAATTATTATTTCTTTATATAATCAGTTTTATTTTCTATTTCAATTCTTTACTATTGTAATCTATTTGGTTTATGTCTATGAATGAAGTGGGAAAAATCTTAATCTAATGTTTATCTTGACAACAGGTATGCAGAGTTGTACCTGATTGGCTATGCAACAGGAAGTGATTTTCCCTTTCAAACTCTTAGTGGCAGGCTGTGAAGTGGTTTAATGTTTGTTCTATAATAACATTGTTTTCTTTCCTGTATATCATTGTAGCAAAATTTTCTGTGTTTGAGGGGTTGTTTCTAATTCTATTTTCCCAATAATATGCATGAAGTCATCAACAACCTGCAATTCCCCTTTGTTGTCCTGCATAAATAAACCTACAGTATCAAATCCTTTCTACCTTTAATTCTCCATCTGGTAATTTATTAACTGCAAACTGTTCACATATTAGAGCTTTATTTTCCCCTTAAGTTTTCATTGTTAAGATTCTTGCTATTTTAGATCTTGCATTAGGGCTGAATTTATCCACATACCTACCACTCAAAAGTCAAAGTAAATAACTATCAAAATTACTGTTTCCAGTCAGCTCCACATTGTCAGGGGCCAATTGTGGAGATGTTTGCTGGGCCAAGTGAGGAGGCCAATGGATGGGTGCCTGCTACTTCTTGACAACATCAGAGACTCTGCTTCTATTCATTCTATATAGGAAGCACCTGCATATTTTTGTTTTATTCTTGAGTGGCTTTCTTTGCATAAAAAAGATCTAAATTTAATCCTTATTGCACAAAAATATTGTTCTTAATGTTTTAAAACAATACTCCATATTTCCTATGTTTAAATATTTGTGGGAGGATGAACTTGAGGAGAAATGTGAAATTGACTTCACCTAGGAACTCAATCTGAGAAGCTGTGAGATCACTGAAACTTCTTAAAATATGTTGACAATTTGAATGTGAGAGAGAGGTAAAAATGTAAAAGGATAACCTATGAATCAAAAGGAAAACACTAAAAGTGGACTTTGACATTTCTAAAATATTGAAGACATAGGCTAAATCCTTTATGATATGATAAAAACTAGAAAATATGAACTATTGCACCTAAAATTTTATTGATTGTTTTTGAAATATTATTTCAAACATAATAGGCCATATCTATTTTGGAAGAAAAGACAAGAAATAAATGGCTAGAAAAATTAGCTATAATAAAATGTTACAGATATATTTATTCAGAAAATTTAGATAAAATTGGTTCCAGAGTCTTCCCCAGATACAAAAGTCTACAGATGCTCAAGTGTTTTAGGTAATTTTGCAAAGTACTAACCTGTGTAAATCCTGCAGTATACTTCAAAACGTTTCTAGATTATTTAGAATGCCTAATAGAGTGTAAATGCTTTGTAGATAGATGTTACACTCTATTGTTTAAAGAATAATGACCCACAAATTCAGTATATGTTCAGTATAGATGCAATGTTTTTTTCAATTTTTTTGATTGGTGGTTGCTTGATTCCAGATCAATGGACCATGGGTAAGGCCGGCCAACTGTACTTCAAGTTTTAAATATATGTTCTTGAAAGTGATCCCTTTTGGGAATTGGTAATTAAATTGATTATCTTGAAAACACTCTGTCTTATTTTATATATGAATAGCATATTCTCTTATTATGTGCAGGCCAAATTTTAGGAATACCTTATAAATATAAGAATTTTTTTTACTAAGGGTTAGTTAATGCTATATCTACTATTTAAACTGATCTAGAAAGATGTTCTAAAACCACCCTGTGTTCCAATATGTCTCAAATATTTTTTCTGAGAATGTCATCATTAGATGGAAATTAACAAAAGAATATATTTTAAAAACCTCTCTTAAAATTTATTTTAAAATAAGGAATATTAAAATTAATTTCTCCAAACCATATTTATTTATAATTAGCATCAGAATCATTTGGATGCTTATTAAATATTTATAAAAATCTCCAGTCCTGTCCCGGACATAATACAGATTTTATTCATTTTTTAAAGACTGAAGAACTACTTCTTAAAAAATATTCCTACAGTAAATATACTAACTTGTTCACTTAAAAATTCAACAACAAATTTGGTCACAGGATATTTTTCTCTCAAGTTTCTGTGGAAGTAGTATTACTTTGCTTTGAAAAATGCTGCATGTTTTCTAATATTTTTATTGTCATATCACAGGAATTCCCATGTTATTTTCCAAAAGTTTAATTAATGCAGCAATATAAACTTTTTAAAAAAACTGAAAAGTATAAATTTCAGGCAATCTTCAATAAGAATAGATGGTAACTGCATAATTCAATAATTTTCTTTTTGTGACCCTTGGATGTATATGAATTTTTCTTTCAAATACAATTTTACCAGGAAATGAAAAAATAAATATCATTGAAAAGAAACATTAAACTGAGAAGAGCATTCTCTTTCCAATCTCCCTTTGGCTGAAAGGAAAATGTAGCACACAGCCTGGAGACTTAAACTCTGAAGAATATAAAGTGAAGTCACTTGCAGTCTGGCAAGATAATTGTTTTTAATATACTTCTAAAGAAATTAAAAAGGTATTGAATGAATCAATTTTTTTAAATGACATGAGAATATCAATTATTTTAATAGTAAGTTCCTTGAAATTTGTGCAAAATAACTAGAGTAAGGAACATGATAGTAAGAAGGCTGGTGTGATTTAATAGACTTTCAATCTGTTTAAATTTTTTTTTATTTTTTAAATTTATTTTTTAGTTATAGGTGGACACGGTATCTTTATTTTTTTTATCTTTATGTGGTGCTGAGGATTGAACCCAGTGCCTTACGCATACGAGTCGAGTGCTCTCCCTCAGAGCCACATCCCAGCCCCTAGACTTTCAATCTTTAAAAAATGAATAAAACCCATCTCAAAGTACCAATGGGGTGGAAGAAAGCTATATGAAAAGTAGGACACTATAGATGGTGTTGTCATGGTCTGTATGACTTTTCCCCATATAAACTAGAGCAGAATGAACATATTTTAAACTACTAATGAAGAAAGAAAAACTATCTTTTAAATAATGAAAGTCAAATATTTTGATAAAGCAAGCATATGTTACTGGTGGCAATAAACTAAATGTTTGTTGAAAACTTATATGTTGAAAACCTAATACCTAGTGATATTTGGAGGTGGGTACTTTGGAGGTAATTTGGTCATGAGGGTCAGTCAGTTCTCATGAATGGGACTAGTACCCTTAAAAGAAGAGGCCAGAGATCTAGCTTGTTTGTTTGTTTGTTTATGTAATGTGAGTAAATAAAGGAAAAGAGGGTCCTCACTAGCTCCCAGCCATGCTGGCTCCCAGATCATGGATTTCCAGTCTCCAGAACTATGAGAAAAACAATTTTGCTTAAAATACCCAGTCTTTGGTGTTTTTATAGTCACTAAAACAGACTATATTATATTATATGCATCACTTCCTTTTACGTTGAATAGAAAATATAACTGTGTCTTAGTAATGGAGGCTCCACTCAGATCCATCAAATGAAACCAATCTTCAGGACACCTGGAAAATGTCTGTTTTGTATAAAGTCTAGAGGAGTCTGGTGGCCCGTGTTTGGTCAGATGTTTTAATTTCATATTCACTGGACCCACCATAGCCTCCATACTGAAACCCACTTAAATGGTATGACAGTGACAATTGCTCAGGACTTTCTCCTTTTTGTACAATTGCAAGTTTAGTTACAACTCTTAGAAGCAACATTGATTGCAGAAATGGGGGCAGGATGAAGGCAAGTGAAAGCAATTAGGATCAATTTGGACAAGTTCTTAGCAATTTTGTCCAGATATCAGAAAGCAGGTCATTATCTTGACTGTGATAATTCTTTTATGTCATGTGTTAACATCTAATCAAATTAGAACTTGTGGAAAATAAATAATCTTGTAAGGTATAAATAAAGTAGCAGGAACACACAATTCTATCCATCAGAGCAATCATTTGTAATACATTTCTAATAATATTGCTATCCATTTTTTCTGTGGTTGAAGTCACACTGTATAAATAATTAAACATCATGTATACTTCAATTTAAATTTTATTATTTACTATTTTCCTGCAATTTTAAGAAATCTTTACACCCATTTATTTTATAAATGAATTGTTTTGAATTCAAAGGTACATTCTACTTTAATTACATTTTCTAATGTTAAATATAGCAATGTTTATATTTTCAAAAATATAAATTAAGTTTCTGTGAATATGTTTATGCATTTGAAAATTACGTGCAGAAGAGAGGAAGCAGAGATATGAAAACTTTTAATGCTCACTGAAAACATTTTCAAATGATGTTTCAGAAGTTTGATTCCAAGTATGAATAAAGAAAGGAGATTCTTGTCATATCTATGCTAATTTTGAAGGTAACTACTTGCAAAATCCTTCAATAAGTTAAAAGTTAGCTCATTATTTTTATTCTGTATGATTCTGTGTCACATTAATACATGCAGATCAAAGAAAAAAAATCACAGCAAAGAGTAAATAAAGTAACCCTATTATCAGCAGAATACTATATAAATTGCTATCATCTCTAGCCAACTATTTACAAAAAAAATTTAGAAGGTTGCAGTACCAAAAGAGGAACATTCTGGATGTCAAGAAATGTAGTTTACATAAGTACATGCTTAAGTGTACTCTCACTTCAGTTTTATCACCTGAATCAAAATCAGTCCCTATATAGATTTCCAACAATCTAATCATAGACAGGCATTATCTTCTAACCCTGCTTTGCTTCTTTCAGGTATCAATTTTAAGAAAAATGTGCAAACTTCAGGTTGTCTTGGCAATCTTATCCATCAACAGTACAAGAGGTTGAGGAATTGAAAAGACAATCTTTATTTGTTTTTCAATTTATGATTTTGTCAAGATATTTTTTGCAGTATTATTTTTTTATCCACTGTATGCCATCTCCATAGAGAACTCTTAAACTCTATCCAGTCATGAATATGAGCTAATTTAGGTCTTAAAGTCTAATATGGTTGGCAAGACCCTGCAGTAGTTGCCAATTCTTACTGAGTTTCTGATTTCTGGGCATTGACTGAGGTTGCGTCTTTCAAAGAATGAAATGTTTCATATAGTTAAAAAGTTTAGGATTGATGTTTCATATCTTAACCTCAATAATGTAGAGGTTTGTCAAAACACCTTAAGGGCATTAGAACTCCTTTCAGAGTTGGCCTCTTTAAATGTTTCGAAGTCCAAGAATTTTTTTTTTCCATTTTTTGAATTGGAATCCTACTGTTCACTTAGATTTATTAAGGTTCTTTTGCTTGGATTCTCATTCACTCTGAACCTTTTATACCTTCTTAGCAGCTGATGGAACACATTGAGCTTCATGTCAGTGTAAATGTTCTTACAGTAAGGACACTGTAGAATTTACCTCTTACACTTTTCATACAGTAAGGACACTGTAGAATTTACCTCTCAGAAATGATGGAGGAGCATGATACATTCTGAATATAACATCAGATACTCAAGGTAGGAAAACAGTTGGCTTTTCAATCTATGCTTGACTAAAGGAAAGACTGAAAATCACTGAAAACTGCAGTCCTCTCATTACCCTATATCCATCTACTGAGGACAGAACTAAGAAACGATCTGGTTGAACTAACCTGAAAAATGATTCTTGTTAACTTCTAACAGGAAAGAACTCTGTATTTATATATAAGGATACTATATATTTACACTTGCCAGTTTCCACAAAAATGACAAGAATTATATTCACCCATCTGAAATAGAAAGTGAAATTGATCTTGGGGATTGCTAGAAGTTGAAATTTGAAAATAATTATTTTATCCTCTCTCTAGGTAAATCTACCCTGAAATGATATAAGGGGTCTAGAGAACCAGAAAACTTACCACATTAGGCAAACAAATTAGATAGGGGGGGGGAAATGCCCAAGAAACACTAAATTTTGGAAGAAATAACAATTTATTTTTAGAAAGGAATACATTTATTGCTCTAGGATATTGTGAAAGACAGACTCATCTTAATACACATTGAGATGGAATGAAATAAATTTTGAAAGTACCTGAAAGGCATCCTGATATTCAGTCTCTCTGCATACTTGCACAGCGTGTCCCATGGGATATGGATTTTAATGAACATTATATCAGGGTTTGCAACAGCTGGCTGCAAAGGATAGCAAGACAGACATCATTACTTAGAATCAGAACCGATTATAGCATACCATTGTTTGATTTGGGAGGAAGAAACATTATCCCATTGCTTATGCATTGATCATTCTCACTGATTTAAATGAAGTTTATATGAATAAAAAACTCTTAATGGGGAAAACTTTAATAAATGTAAAATGCCAATGAAACCGGCTAAGGCCTAGACAGTCTTAGACACAAATTCCTCAGGAGAATGGCCTGTTAAAATTATGAGATCAAAATCACTCAGGCAGGACATGATTAACCAACCCACAAAAGAATCCTGTGACCTGTGAAGAGGCATGGGGACCATCTATGCCTATGCAAAAGAACCCTAAAGCTTCATAAAAATCAACAATCAACTTCTCAATTATCCACTCCTATAAATTTCCCCACTATCAACCAATAAAAGGACAGATTTGAACTTATCTCTTGCCTCCTAAGTCGTTAACCCTCAAAAAAGCTTTATCATTTTGCAAAACCTCAGTGCCTTAATACTGCCTTCTATGTGAGTCAGGAAATCAGCACTTACTTGATATCACCATTGTATACAAGAAACAATCACCTATGTAAATCAATGAATTGTTTTAAATTAATCATTGTCAATATCTAGATTCTTCAATTAAATAATTCTGAGCCAAATAAGTATCTCTAGCTAGGCATAGGAGCATACATCTATAATCCCAGAGGCTAAGGAGGCTGAGGCAGAAGAATCATAGTTTCAAAACCTGCCTTAGCAATTTAGCAAAACTCCATCTCAAAATTTAAAACAAAAATGGGCTGGGATGCGGCTTAGTAGTTAAGCACCATTGGGTTCAATCCCCAGTACCAATGTCCTCCAAAAAACAACAATAACAACAAACAAACAAAACAGAAAACAAACTACAAAAAACTCAAGATCTCAAGTTGTTCTTTTTATGAAATTATTTTTAGTTATGTAATATTAATATGGACTCGACATAATGATCCTCTTATTTCTGTTCAGAGAGGGTAGAAACACTGCAAATTCTCACCAATAATTACTTAATTACTTAATTAATTTCCGTATTCTTTTTTTAAAATAACTACTACTAGATTTTCCAAACTACTTATTAGGTTCAATGATAAGCCTGGAAGAAAAATGGACTATGTAAATCATACAAACCCAGGACCTCACAGAGCTGTCAAATTTGCATGCCTACTCTGGCTTTTTGTTCCATTTCTGCCTATATCAAGACACAAGGATTTAACTGCCTTTTATCTAGACCAGAGAAATTAAGCAGTCACAAGGGCAGCAAAAAACATCTATAGACATTTTTTACAAAATGAGGAACTCTGGTCTAATCCTTATAAATGCCAGAATTAGATCCACTTTATGTAAATATTTTGATCACACACTAGTCCGAGGGTTAGATGCTTTTCTGAACAATCATTTAGATTCCTTGCTTTGTTTCAGCAATCCAACATAACAGCTAAATAACTGACAAAGCATTATATATCACTCATGTTGATATTCTACCTCTTAAAAAGGCCTACACAGTTAATTCCTGTAATCCTGCCGTGACTCAGGCCCACAGAGCATGAAACAAACCTGTGGCATTCTAGCACTGAACCCTATAAAGCTTTTTTTTTTTGGTACCAGGGATGGAACTCAGGGACCCTCGACAATTAAGCAATATATACACCCCTATTTTGTATTTATTTAGAGACAGGATCTCGCTGAGTTGCTTAGTGCCTCATGCTAAGGCTGGCTTTGAACTTGTGGTCCTCAAGCCTCAGCATCCCAAGCTGCTGGGATTACAGGCATGTGCCACAGACTCGGCTCTATAAGGCTTTTAATTCATGTGAACATCTGTAATAAAAGAACTGCTTTTTCCTTCCATATAAAGGCACTTACCAGGTTGGACACAGCTGAACTATTTTTTGGTAAACATTTTCATTTATATTTCAACTAGACGTAACCTCTCAAAAAATACATAATTCTGAAAAGCTTAAAAATATGGAAAAAAATCTAGCACTTTAACTTAAAATCATGTTTTGAAATTAACATCTAAAATTTTTATATTCATAAAGTCCAATATTCAAAATATGGATAATTTTGTGGGCTTGCCAGAACATATTGTATTTGTATTACCAATATTTCTAAACAGTTTTGTTACAGAACCATGTCACTGGACTAATATTCCAACTTAGAAGCATTCTGAAATCTGCTCACTCTATTTATTGGGCAGGCACTTTCACAGATCACCATTTGCTTAAAAGTAAAGAAAGAAATGAAAAGGAAAGAAAAAGAAGTGGGGCCATTCCATGATCAAGTGAATTTTAGGCTTCTCCAATAAACTTCTCAAGACCGTTTGATATGTATGTACTTGCTGAAAATATACAAGCATACAATAAAGTATGTAGAAGATCAAACATTTTGCATCATGGATTGCTTTTCCATTTTACCTTACTGAGGTACTAGTATCTTGCAAATCACGATGTGGGGTGGGTAATAAAAGGTGCGATCATGCCAGTATAATTTGAAAAACCTTTTCCTACTTGGAATTTGTTTGCTTCAAATTAAAAGTAAAGGATTATAAAAACCATAATCAACAGAGACAGAAATAGGCTTACTATGTCACAAATATCTATACACCTTTTAATCAGTCAATAATCAAGGAAAAGAAGAACATTATGAGGTTGATATTCCAGGCCCTTTTCCAGACTTTGTGGAAAGGTTTAGGTGTAGAAGTTGTATAGATAACAAAACATTTTCAAGGCTCTGGATTTCTGTAGTTTAGCCGTATAGCCCTTGTGTAGCATGCTGGATGCCCTGGGTTCAATTCTTAGCACAAGACACAGTCTTTTTGTAATATAAAAAAAGCTTAAGTATTCATTTATTTAAATCACTTCTCCATTCAGGGCCAGTTAAAGATGCATTTCATATTTTATTATAACTCTTCCTACATTATTAATTCAAAAGTTCTTATATTTAAAATGATAATAAAGATATCTCTCTTGAAATAGTGGTGTCAGCTACGGGTGCTACACCTACTTGCCTTCCACTTACCAAGCACAATTTAAATGTCTTCGATCCTAACCCACATGGACTGGCAGAAAAACGTACAGGGTTTAGAACCTCAGAGACTTCAGTATACATTCCTTTTCTACCATTTCTTATCTTTAAGAAGTTTAAACTCTGATGCATAGTTTCCTCACGGAGGAGTAAAGAGAGTGATCTCTGCCTCATAGGGCGTCTGTGTCATGAGAGACGGAATTGCAGTGCCTGAGACTGATCAATTCTTAATACGCTTTCTTATATGAGGGCATGCCTCTCAAATAGATGCCAGCCAATATGCCAATGAATCTCAAAGCTTCCCTGGAGTCTTTGTCTTGTTTCTTCCCCTTAGGAAGTAGTTGTCTGGTTCTTCTTTAGTGGATCCTGTGTCTTAGTTTCCTATGCTGTCCAATAGACCTTTGAGTCACACAACCCTAAAGCCAGTAACAACCTATGATTTGGGAAAAACTCTGTGAAGTACAGTGACCTGAATCAAGATTTTAAGTTAAATGGTTAAATTCTTTTCCTCTGATAATATAAACTGAGAATAAACTCTAAAAACAAACAACAACAAGATTATACTTCTATAGACTTTATAGTTGCTTTGAAAGTTTTGTTTATCTGTACATATTTAGATTGTCTTCTGCTAGCACACTGGTTGTTCCTAGAAAGATAGGGATTCTTCATTTTGGATCATGCCATTTCTCAGAACCCCACTTCATCTGGAGTGAAACTACTTTCTCCAGTGAAGTGCACAGCTCTTCATATCTCACCCTGAGTGTCTCCACAACCACTTCCACCACTTCTTTGCCTCCCTCACTCCACTCCTGTCGTTAGCTCACTCACTACTACTTGCCTGTCCCTGTCCTATTCCTTTTACATCAATCTTTTTTTCCCTCTATAGTAGTTTTATTTTCTTATTAGTTATGCAAGTGTCCCAAGAAAAAATACATTGTTTTATTCATTGACATATCCACAGTAGCCATCTCTGTGTTAAACTCACAGTGGAAACTCACCAAGCATTTGTTGAATGAATGGATGTTGGACTTGTTTTGGGTACACATTGTATTGAACTTATTCCTAAGCAAGAGATGATGAGGATAAGAAAACCAATAAGTCTGAACTGATCTGGAAGAGGGCACTGTGTCAGGATCCAAATTAGCACTATGAACAGCTTGCCAGATACTGATTATTAATTCATCACTGTCAACCATCAGGATGTGAAATAATCCAATAACTTTAAATAAAGCGATGCTCTGAAAGGAGGTTTCTGCATTAAAATGACTACTGTCAATGAGTAAAATGTCAATCTAAGTGCATACACAGAGCATGTCTAATTTTGTATGCCTTAACTTTAAATATATATATATATATATATCTTTAAATGCAAACACACACACATACTACCCACCCACACATATATATGTCTTTTTAAGTAGCATGGACTGTCTTGGTTTCTAACTTCCTCAACTAACTTAATCTCTTTTTTGCTATACCTCCACTTTTAAAAAAATGAGAGAAAAGTAGTTTCATTTTTTGCTACTGGGAAGGGGCTGGTGAAGGGATATTGCTGTGAGGGAGAAAGAAGACCTTTCCTTTTGGAATCAAAAGCTGCAAATTTGGCACTATTTTTTTTTTCAACCCTGATGTTAGCAGCCTTCTCAGAGGGAATGAGACACCCACAACCTTCATACTTCATTTTAGTACTTAATTATTCCTCCCCAAATTCCCAAGAGGTAGAATAGTTACTCCTGAGAAAAGAGGAAACTTAAAAATGATCTTTTCACAAAGTCACTCTGTAAGTTTTGGGCACAGAGCAGAAAGAGCATGTTTAATCCCATGGTTTTAAATCTAAGTGAAAGACAAAGCTGATGGGAATTGAAAATTGAGTTGGACTACAAAGCACCTACCCTGACAATTATAAATCATCTACCTATTTATTTGAATGGTCTTCAAAT